ATCGTGGCTGTGTAACAGTGACAGTGTGCTGAAGGAGGGGGGAGGAGGAGGGACTGTGCAGAGCAGGGGGAGGGTGTGGTGGGTGATTATAACTGCGTGTATGACAAAGGGGGGTAGAGAGACAGATTTACTAAAGTATTGAGGGGAAAGGTGTGAGTGTGCTGGAGTGTAACTGAGTGACAAACCTAGGGAAAGAAGAGGGACAGCGCAGTAAAGTGGAGGGGGGAGACAGAGGAGTGTTAATCTGTGTGTGTGTGTGTGTGTGTGTGTGTGTGTGAAAAAGGAGGGAGGGTGGCTGAGTGTGTGCGCTTGGTGTGGGGAAAAGGAAGCCTGTGTGCGTGGGTGTGTGTGTGCGCGCAACAAAGCTGGGGGTGGAGAATGGGAACCTTGCAGTAAAGCGCACATACGAAAAAGAGATTGGCGATTTGAAGAGTGAACCTGCGAAGTTGAGTGAGGCTGCGTAAATAAATAGGCACAAACGCCATCACTGTTACCAACTTCCTCTGGTTTCTTGTACCTAAAATCTTGAGTGATCTTTTTCTTAACTTCTTGGGCACTGTCACTGTATTTTTTTTTTAAAGAAAATGGTATTAATATTTTCCTTTCCTTTCCCAACCATACAGCCGAAGGGTAGAAACGCGGGGAGGCTGAAGGGTATTTTTAGGGGTGAGTTAGGGCGTGTGTGCGCCTGCGTCCACGAGCTGGTCTTACTTTGATGCGGTGGCTTGCTTTCTTTTTTTTTTTTCCTGAGGTGGGATTCGTCTTTGGAAGCGCCAGCCTCACTCTAGGTGAGGGGGTGTGTTTGTCCCGTGGCGAAGAGTACATTTCAATACAAAAAGATTAGATAGAGAAGGGGGTGAGGGAGTATTGTTTTGTTTCTTTAGGTGAGAAATTATTTTATGGAAGTCAGAAGTTTTCACAGGAACTCCCCACTGCTTTTCTGAGAGAAAAATTAAGATTTTGATTGATATGTATGGGTTTTATTTATCTGAGAATAGACACAAGGTTTTGACAAATCTTGGACCACATATACGGAGGCGTCTGTCTAATGGTATTTGGACCAGATATGAGTGTGTGTGCATGTTAATAGATACACTCAGTTCAAATTTGGTGGGTTTTAGTCACTTGCTGGCCATTTGTATTCTTAGTTGCCCTCAGAAATGTCATTACAACTTTGCTACCACCACAAGGGAACATCTTAAACCACAGAAAGCACCACACCAGTGTAGCAAGAAGTCTACAGATCCTTGGAGCCCTATTGAATATTCATGTTTTTTAAAAAGTAATTTATATTTTTAAGCAATTACAAATGCTCTCAGAAATCTAATTTTAAGGCAGCATTGATTAAAATGTTACTGGCTGGGAGAACTGTTTTGTTTTGGCTCGGTAAACATTTTTATTTCATTGTTGTTTTTGAACACTCCTCAAGTGTATCACAGCTTCTGGGGATGTTCAAAAAAAATTATTCTGGGGTTTACTGAACTCCAAAGTCAGGTTGTATCACTTGTGTAAGTTTCATTAAGCAGAGCCGAGGCTGATATTGTGGTGTGAGAGTATGTGTTTCTGAACCCTTTTGAACATTGTTGGGATATTGACTGTACATCATATCTATTGATTAAGGGTGTAAGGTACACTCTCATACTTTGAAGTAAGTGTGAAGTAAATTAATGAACTGCTTTCTTTCTCTGAAGGCTGACGCTTACCATAAATGTCGTGTTTCTCCCAGCAAGCCACTCTGAATGATTTTAGCGTGTTGAGAAGGCGTGACAGGCCAGCCCAGAAGGAGGAAGGGGTGGGGGAAGGAGGGAACTCCGTTTAACAAATAAAAGAGAATTAACTTCATTGCTTTGGTCTCCTTCTATAATGATATTCATTTTAAGAACCTAATACACAGTTGTTCAAATATGGGGTTTAATTCTAATCAATACCATCACCCACAAAGGTGGAGGGAAAAAAGCTTTGAAGGAAGACTCCTTTCTATGAATAATTATCTCATCTTTTTATCCTACTATCTTTTGGAAGGAAGGACTATTGAAAAGTTAAATGCTGATTCTAAAACAGGGGCATTAACCACTGTGTCCTCAAAAAAATGCCAGGAATTAGAAAAACTCAGCATCGTGTGATTACTATTTTGAGCTACCTACTTCTAAAATTTATCTGTATAAATTCTTTAAAATCATATGTAATTCTTCCCAGGACAATGGTCACAATGTGTGTGAATTTAATGAACATACTGGATCCTACAATTTTACACAAGGTTGGCTTGCAGCATTTGGGGATTTTCACAGGGGTTTGTATGTGGCTCTTTCTTCATTAGAAGATTATATAAATATATATTCATCCCACTTACCCCCATTTAAAAAGTTAGGGGTTTATTTCTTAGTAGTAGTATTGGGCAAAGAGCACTTTTTTCTTACACTACTCCCCTTATACACCACCACCACCACCACCAAATAAGTGATTAGTGTTTGTCATAAGGCATAAGACAGCAGAGTTAAAAAGGATAGACAAAGAAAATTATATAATTGACCAAAAATTAAAATAGCGATCATCTTGCTTCTGGTTTCAATGAAACTAGTTTTAATGGCACCTCTTTCCCCACTTTGGAGCAGTGACTATCATTTTTTAATCCTCCACAGGAGGGAACACCTGTAATCCATTGTAGATACAGCCTGTCTGGCAAAGCATTTCATGGCGCATAGAGCTCAGTTTACCTTTTGTGATACTGAGCATTACTCTTGAGTATTATAGTGCAATAATACAGGTTTGGAAAGGAAAGATGGAAGAAAGATAGGAAGTGCTGTTTTTCTAATGTTAATTAAAAGTTTCCCCCCACCCCATATGAAGTTTAACGTGCAGGCAGGAAGGGGATAGGTGGCTATTCTGCTGTTTCTTGCAAACCTGTGGGATCCACTGTCAATAAAGCTAAAATCTATTAGCATTCTGTATGCATCTGCAGCATAAATTTCATTTGAATTTCAAATTTAATAAACCAGGAGGTTTTTAATCATCCCTGGTTTTATTTGTTTGATATTAACATGCTTATTGACCGGGTCTGGTGACCAGTTTGATCATTACAGGACAGCAAAAAGTTAATTAAAACGACCACAGCCCCTTAATCATATCATCTGTCTCATCCATGTCGCTCTCTTTATTACGGGTGATGATGGATAGTCTCCCAGATTAATTTCTCTGTTTCTTCGATTTGGACAACAGCTTTTGGGACCTAATTTACATCCTGGGAACAACTTGCTCAAGTATATCTAACACCTTGCAGCTCCAATATACATCAACATCTCCTTAGATGGAGCAGAGAAGGGGAGTTTTTTTGCAGGCGGGTTTGAAGACTAATCAATGCTGCGATTTGGAGCTCTTCCGCGGTCACAGCCAAAGAAATAGAAGGTCCTAAAAACAAATTAGAGGCCTAGATCCTTGCTGTTGCTTTTCAGGGAGCGGGGAGTGAAATATGCCTCTGCTGTTTGGTTAAATAGATTAAAATGTGTAGATACAGCGACAAGTAAATAAAACCATTTGTAACCATTAAGTACAATTAGGGTCTTACAGTCGAAAACATCAAAGTTATCCAGGCTTTCAAATGTCCGGCATCTACACATCTACATACACCAAATACGTTTCTGAACGTAAGTGTGGTCCTGTATATACACTGCGCTAAGAAGCCTAATAGAACGGGGAGGGGGGAAATGCGCATGGACGATCTAGGCCCGTACCTCCGCTGGGTACGTTGAAACCGGGCTCCGCATCTCGGTTTCCCGAGCGCCTGCAGGGACGTTCACGCTCTGAAAGCTGACAGGCGGGTGCCAACTGCCGACCGAGTTAACGCGGTGCGGCCGCGCACCCCTGGCGTGCGCCTCGCCAAAGGAAGACGGCCCCCAATCCCTGGCCACTGTGCGGAGACCTCGTAAACGGACTCGCTGGCTACTAAATAAAACGTGAAGAGGGCTAGGGAGGGAGCCCAGCGCCGCCGGCGGCTGCCAGGAGCAGCGGGCTAGGCCAGGTTGCGTGTGTCTCCTGGTCTGAAGCTCTCTGGTCCAAGTTTCTTTCCTACTGAAAAGAAACCCTGGCCAAGCGTGGACCTGTAGATTCCCGAGGGGTGCCCTTTTGCTGTCCACTCCTGCTTTCGGGCGGCTTTCCTAGGAAGTTGCCTAACATTTCCTGGGAGGGGAGGTAATAAAAGCCCCTCGCTGGTGGCAGATTGTTGAGCCGTAGGTGGGAAGGGATCAGTCGGCCAGAGCCCAGAAAGGGCTGTATTTTCCTGATTGGAAAATGGGAACTTCCACGCTGAACAATAGCCCCTATTAGTGAGGTTATTCGGTTTCAAACTGTCCGGCCACTTTTACAGCCGTGTCCTTGCTTTCCCGGCACTGCTTAATTGGATGCATTTGTTGACCACAGCGAAGCAATAGTGACTCTTGATCTCCTGCATGGGCTCCCCTGGTGGAGGCAAAGCGTTGCCTTGGTGGCTCTTTTAGAATGATTGGGACCACTTGAAAAAAACATTTCATACTTTTGTCTTAATCGACTCTATATTTTTCTTCCGTATTCCACTGCTTAATTTTTTTCTCTCTGACACTTCAAAACGTTCAAAAGTTAGCGACCGTTTCATTAAGAGACTTTCTCATTGAACAGGCTATT